AGGATCTTCAATCAGTCTTTATCCCAGTCCACTATTCCATCTTGTTTGAAGGTTTCCAACATTGTTCCTCTGCCAAAGAAGTTCCCTGTCAATAGCCTCAATGATTACAGACCAGTGGCACTCACTCCTATCATCATGAAGTGCTTTGTGAAATTGGTCTGCCGGCACATCATTTCTGGTCTTCCGCATACATTTGATAAACACCAGTTTGCATACAGAACAAATAGATCTACAGAGGACGCTATAGCCATCACTCTTCACACTGCTCTAACTCATCTAGAACAGTGGGAGGGCTATGTGAGGATGCTTTTTGTGGATTTTAGTTCTGCATTTAACACAATTCTCCCACATAGATTAGTGTCTAAATTTCTGGACCTTGGGCTTTCTAATTCAATCTGCCTTTGGATTATGGATTTCCTATCTGGCCGCTAACAAAGGGTCAGGTTAGGAATTCATACCTCTTCAGCCCTTATTCTTAACACTGGTATACCACAGGGTTGTGTGTTGATTCCCTTACTCTATACTCTTTATGTGCATGACTGCATTCCCACTCACGCTAGTAATATTATTGCTAAATTTGCAGATGATACAACAGTAGTGGGACTTATTTCCGGGGAGGGATGAGTCTGCCTACCAAGATGAGGTGGACTGATTGCTTTTGTGGTATGGAGACAATAACTTGGTCCTCAACACCAAGGAGCTTATAGTGGATTATAGAAGGAACAGATCAGACATCCAGCCCTTGGTTATCAATGGAGACCGAGTGGAGCAAGTGGCCAGTTTTAAGTTTCTCGGTGTTATCCTAAAAGAGGACCTGACCTGGGGTGCCCACATTGAAGCCCTGGTCAAAAGGGCCCAGCAAAGATTATACTACCTGAGACTTCTCAGAAAACAACAACTGAATGAAAAGCTGCTGGTGACCTTCTACCACTGCACCATAGAGAGATTTTAACATACTGCACCTCTGTATGGTTTGTCAATTGCACAGTGGCAGATAGGAAAACACTCCAGAGGGTTAATGTCGTTGCCCAGAAGATCATTGGTTGCCCTCTCCCCTCTTTGGAAGAGCTTTATAGCTCCCACTGCCTTAAGAAAGCTCAAAACATTCTCAAAGATCCATCTCATCCTGGGAACCCTTTTTTTGAACTATTTACCACAGAATAATAAAAACAGGGACAAATAGGCTGAACAACAGCTTCTATCCCAGGGCAGTAGCTCTTTTGAATTCTGCTGTATAGTGCAGTTTTGGTGCAGTGTCAGGGGTTTTCGGTTCAAAAGGATGTGTGTTTGTGTTTATTTTCATGGTCATGGTCATGATGTGCACTGAAGATGGTGTTTGATTTCGTTGTACAAGGTGCAATGACAATAAAGTAAACAAAACTAAACATTTGGTTTGAGCGAAGCAGATTCCCATTGTTTTCCCTATGTTCCATACTGCTAAGTTTCCCTTCCCTTCTCTTTATTTTTTTTAAAACTTGAAACTAGGAACAAGTGCTACTTTGTCTCCATGAAACTGAACTATCAGTTCTTCCTTTGGACAAAGTTTCCATGGACCTACTGAAGGAATGAAAGAACAACCTGTTCTCCCTTACTTCAATTATTGTACCATTGAACTACCATGTACCATAATGAGGGAGGGGGAGAGAAAGGCTGCCTATTAGTGTCAAAAGAAATAATGTGGGAACAGTGTGAAGGCATCCATGTGTGCAAACACCTGAGGAAGACAAGGCCGAGGTGAGACAGGGTACTGCTAAGAAAAAGCCAGGCACAAATAAATCAGGCTATATAGGGACAATGAACCATGTTTGACTTTCCTTAAAGAATGGGCAGGGCATGAAGTAGCAGAACAACCAATCAAATGTTGTAGTGATTACTATAGTCTGAAATGAGCACCGTTGCCCAGCCTGACTGCCAAATTACAACCCAGCCTGACTGCCAACTTACAGACTGAAATTTCTGAACTTGACTTAAAGAACAAGCGGGAGCAGCACAGAAGTAGCTTAGACTGTGGTGCATAACTTTTATTTGTGTGATGCTGGTAGGGCACAATGGTGGCATACTTCTATAGTATAGTATAGAAAATTTACACACCACACAAATATAAACACACGTGCCCTGGTAGGAGGCATCAAAGGGGATGTTTGCAAAAGAGGAAGCAGTGATTGAGTCCATTACAATTAATGGAACTTGGAGGGAGCATTTTGAACCCAATCCTACAAGGGAAGAATACAGCAAATCCTATAATTGCATTTCTTATGTTTCACACAGTCCCAATTTCCCTAATGAATATAGGTTTGTACATCTGTATATGTATATAGGTGTGTGTGTGTGTGTGTGTGTGTGTACATCAATCATCTGGTCAAAATAGCTTTCACTCATTAGTCAGCACACATTTATAAATTCCAAATAATCAATTCTATAAAATAATTTTTAAGAATTTTAAATATATGTACATTTCAAAAGGCAATCCATTGCAGGTATAGCATTCTATTGGGAACATTTGCAATTAATAGCCAGAGCAATTGTGAAGTCCCATTACTTGGCTTGGTTGAAAACAACAAATGTTTTCTTGATCTGTCTCACCATCTGGACTATGTTATATCATGCCCCCACTGCAGCTGCCTGAAATGGTGACAGAGAAGCAACATGGTGGAGGGAACATGAGTTGTGGACTTTATATGTCAAACTATGTAATCCAAGGAGTCATAACTGATCGTATGACAATCCTGGACATGAATATCACAGGCTTATCTGTAAAGGAACAGGTAGAGAGAGATTAGTTCACGCAGTTCCAGCAAAGCCAGAATGCCATTAAAATAGGTTGCAGGAGCACATAGTTTCTTTAAGAAAGGTCAAACACAAAGCCCTATGAGTAATAGGTTGCCTGTGCCGGGTTTCTAATCTTCCTACACACTGCAAATCTGTCTTGAAAGTACTTGAGTATGGTGTTCAGAGCTGGCAGAAACCCTAAAACAGGGGTGTCAAACTCAAGGCCCGGGGGTCAGATCTGCCCCGCGGGTGATTAGATCTGGCCTGTAGGGCCACCCTGGAAACGGCGAAAGACTGGCCTGCGGTGCCTCTGCCAGCAAAAACAGAACTCAGGTGGGCTGCACACAGCCCTCTTGAGCTCTGTTTTCATTGGCAGAGTTATTTACAGGAGGCCGTTGCAGCCGAAAACAGAGCTCAGGAGCCTGTTTTCTCTGGCAGAGGGCTTGGGCCACCACAGGCACCCCGACACAAGTGATGTCAGGCTGACCACACCCACTCTGGCCCTCCGAAGTAAAATACAATCCTGATGCGGCCTTCAATGAAATCAAGTTTGACACCACTGCCCTAAAAGGAGAGGCCTCTCTGAATCCTGGTTAGATTTTGGAATTCTCCCAGCCTTGTTTTCTGGCAGTGGCAGTCCTTGTTTCATCACCATGAGAAACAAAAGTGGTTATATGAGCTGGGACAGTGCAGCATATTCTGCTAAGGTATGGATGATTTAACCACAGGTTTCCAAATAAACAAACTGTAATTGGCAAAACCAAAACCAAACCATAATGTAGTTTAAGATGTTGTGTGAACTCTACCATATGTTAACTCTTCTTGTAGCTAGAGATATCTCTGAACTGGAATGTGATATTGGAACCCAGCAGTTTCTTGCCAGAGAACCAATAACCATGATTTTATTGATCCGGATTGGAAAATAGTAGATAAAGATACCCTTAAAATGCAGTGCTCCTATTATCCTCAGTTCCAGCTCCTATGATCCAGCAGCATTTTGTTAATGGAGATGAATTCAATATCTAGAGGTTATCACATTGGAGAAGGCTGCTATGAAATAAAAGGGAAAAAAAAACCTGTTACTTCCATATTGAAGATTAGTGCTTGGTTGATCAGAGGCAAGAAAAGCTATAGCTTAGATTTAATATGAGGATAATTACTGCTAAGGAGGGGTTATGCTGCTTTATTTGTTATTCAGATGCCACATATCCCAAACATGCCTGGGTTTCTTCCAGTCAGAACATATGAAGAAAATCAAACTCATTCCAAACTATTGAGAAACTACCCAGAGCAATAATAAAAAGGTAAGACCAGGTCAGCGTTTTATAGCAAAATTATTCTACAGTTTGTTTATGTTGAACTGCAAGCTAATTGTTGTACTATAATCCCCCACCCATAGCATTTTAGGCAGAGATGCAAGTATCTAAAGATATGACATGTCCTTAATTATTTATATTATTTAACAAGTTTAGTATGGTCTTAGACATTTCTTAGAAATAGTATTACAAGCAATACAAGTAGGATAGCACTGATGACTTTTGTAAAAGTCATTTCTTAGAAATAGTATTACAAGCAATACAAGTAGGATAGCACTGATGAGTTTTGTAAAAGTCAAGTGCTGTCTCCCACATGATATCATCTGCCCATCTGCTCCCATGGAAGACACAGTACTATGCTGGGTTTTAATTGTGAAACAGCAAAAGTTGTGCAACCAAGTCTTTCTCTGATTTATTTTATCTTTATAATCTAGGCTGAATTACACACACACACACACACACACACACTATTTAACAGATGATTCCAGATTCTGCAACTAACATTTTCAATTTCAAAACTCTCTGGAACAAACCCTGCAACTAAGAACTTGAGTTTAGTTTACTTTTATTGTCATTGCAACAAAATTAAATGCCATCTTCAGTGTACATTATTACTATGAAAATAAACACAAACACACATCCTTCACATTCTATACATTCAACTGAAAACCCCTGATATTGCATTAATATTGCACTATACTGTAGAATTCAATAGAGTTACCGCCCCCGGGAGCTGTTTTTCAGCCTATTTATCCTTTTTTTTTATTATCCTGTACCATCTGCCAAATGATAATAGTTCAAAAAAAATAAATAAAAAAGGGATGGAAGAGTTATTACCATCATAGATGGACCTAAAGCTTGATTGGTATAAAGCAACTCCCTCTGTCAGCAAAGAAGCCAAAACACCTAACTGAAAGCCGAACAAGACCGATGTTGCTGTCAGAACTATTCCTGTGTTTTCCAAGTTCAGTAGAGGACTAAGATATCTTTAGGTACCATGAGGTAAGAAACGTTGCACTACAAATAATAACAGCCAGCAGCAAAGTGCACAGTGGAGCACTTTGTGGAAATATTTCCATATGTGGAAATATGATAGTAATATTCATGTAATCAGCCCACAGCATTGCAATTTGTTTTTTTTAAAGGGGGGGGAGGAAAGCCAATCCTGCCCTTGAAAATGAAGAGAGGATTTCGTGTTAAAAATAGTGACCAGGGTTCTCTTTCCTGATGAGAACATACTGTGCTAAAGAGATCATCGGGGCTGTACACGCCAGCTTGTGTTGTTTTTTTTGGGGGGGGGGGCTGCTCCACATTCCTATCAACAATGCCGTCTTCACTTTTCAAGAGCTATTGTTGTTCCAACCTCCTCCTTCCACTTCTCTTGTTGCTTTCATCCCTTCTGCACAGAAGGCGCATTAATAGTTTAAACTTTCTTTCTGGGATCAGCTCTGCTGAATTCCCAAAGTAATTCTGCATATGTCATATGCCAACCCGGAACCTTTTTTTCCCCATGCTATATTTAGCTTGTAGGAAGTAGCTGACAGGCATGGGGAAGTGGCCTGTAAGGAACAGGGCACATATCAATAGCCTCGTTTCGTAGTTTGCCTTGGCTCTTCCGTGGATTTTTTTTTCTTCCCCAACTAATTAATGTTTCCATTGGTGCTAGAAACTTCCTTTTTGGAGCAGGAATCTTTCTCACACAGGAATTAATTTCATTTATCTAATGAAATAGAACTTTATTCATGAAAGTAAATGTTGTAATATAACTGCTTAGTCTTTAAAGTCCACAAATCTCTTATCTTCCTCATTTTGCTAGCCAGTTATTAGACATGATTATTTTACTGTCCACTTGTTTGTCCAGTAATCTTCTATGTATGTTGCCATTTAGCACTGAATTCAGGATGTATATGACCAATCTTTTTCAAGGCAAGCTCCCTTTTCAGAGGAAAAGCAGATCTGTGCTTCATAAGCTCCTTAAAACAAATCTATCAATGCTTCATGTGCCAAATAACACCTTCATTATATTTACTATCATTCTTCATATTAATAAAGATTTGAACTAGAGAGTGTGTGGGTTAAACCTTTAGTAGATAAAAGCCTTTTTCTTTAACTTATGATTTTGGGTTATATTTCACTTGCCCCTACTAGCCCTGGCACAAATATGCCAGAGCAGCCGGTTATCTTCTAAGTCCTCATAATATTGCTGTTGTCTAATTCCCAGCACACATTTGAGGCAGCTTCATATCATGTTTAGCCATTCTAGTTTTAAAACAAGGTTTCCCCTCTTATCCCGACAGAAATGTGGTCATAGATATTATCTCGCTACTTCATTCATCATTTTATGGTTGACGTGGTTACGTTCGGTGGTCTGATTCAGATTCACAGGTGACTGCTAGAGGGGGAGAGTCTGAAGGAGTACTAGAGAAAGTTCAGACTGCACCCATCCTGAGCACCTGCTACCTACTAATTTAGAATTTGGCAGGTACAGGTAGTCCTTGACTTACAACCACAATTGAGGCCAAACTTTCTGTTGTTAAGCGAGACATTTATTAAGGTGAGCTTTGCCCCATTTTATGACCTTTCTTGCCACAGTTGTTAAGTAAATCACCATAGTTGATAAGTTAGTAACCCGGTTGTTAAGTGAATCAGGCTTCCCCATTGACCTTGCTTCTCAGAAGGTCGCAAAAGGGGAATCACATGACCTTGGGATACAGCAACGGTCATATGTATGAATCGGTTGCCAAGCGTCTGAAATTTGACTGCATGATCATGGGCACGCTACAAAGGTCGTCACTGTGAAAAATGGTCATGTCACTTTTTTCAGTACCCTTGTAATTCTGAATGGTCACTAAATGAACTGTTGTAAGAGGAGGACTCTCTGTACAGTAGCTAAACCTCCTATTCTAGGTATCCACTGAAACTCACCACATCCCACTTTTTAAGGGTAAGGTGGTTTCTTGTTTTCCCCCAGGGACAGGTTACACTTGGTGGGAGAAGAAATGAAGCCAGGCGGAACTACCAATTCCGTTCCTTAAAGTGAACTGTCATATGTAAGTAAGGACAGCACCATTTGTTGGTCTCATTAACAGCCATAAAGGGGAGGCAGTTTCTCCTAGCATGCTTTCCTAACAATTCAAGGGCTGGTGCTGTTGAGTTGACTCACTAGTTGGGAATTGACCAAGGAGAGCAGTTTTCAACAACAGCTTCATAGCAAATGCCAGACACTTGCTATTTCATTTTATTTTTAAAACGTTCAAATTATTTTGCTCTCTATTTAGATGGTAATGCCTTATTGTGTTTGCATATGTTTTCAATTTTTTTTTTAACATGATTATGGGCCTCAAAAGTTGGAAGAAGTCTGAATCTTTGTGAATCCCTGATGCCAAATCTGCTTGTAAAACCAGAGCTGTTGAAATATCTTGCTCATAGCATCTTTAGAAGAAGCGTAGCAAAAAGTGGTTTGGGGTCATACTTGGGGCAATAAGAAGCATCTTGGCAGGAACCTACAGCATCATGTGCCACAGCGAAAGTATTGATTGTGGTTTTCCAAAATTTATGAACTTGCAAGAACAGTAAACTGTGAAGTAAAATTCATAGAACGTGGTTTGTGATTTAGAAAACCCCTAACACATAGGACCAGATTCCATTCTGACTAAACGTCAGGCTACAAAACAATCTTCTTGTGTCTATTTAGGACTTCCCATCTTCTTGCCTGAATTTAGGGCTGACATCAGCACCTATCAGCCATGAGAAGCTGATTGTGTGCCCTACAGCAGATCCATGCCTTGGAGTCCTCCTCTGAGCAACTATGTCTTTATGACATCAAGGAAGTGTCACTCCCGGGCTTGTGGGAAGCTATATTGGAAGCTCCCAATGAACTAATTGTCACAACAGTTGACCACTATGGATAACATACCAGCTAACTCTATGGTGGGGGTCTCTATATGAGAGGCCCAGGAGAAAGAACTTGATGGAATATCCCTTCATGGTTGGAATCCTATCTTACCAAGTCTTCTTTGATTGCTTTCTCGTGATCTCTTAACTATTTCCAGAGCAGCAAATGCAGCCTTTTTATAGAGCAAGGTAGATAACCTATGTTAATGTTTTGATTCTCCTTTTTGCAGCCCTTGAAACCTCTTGCAGTCAGGACTATTCAAATTCCTGATATCTTTAAGGGGGGAACAAGTGAAAGCAGTAGCACATGCCTCAAAGTTGGCATCTTTATGCCAAAATTGGCTTAAAGAGCCATGGTGGCACAGTGGTTAGAATGCAGTACTGCAGGCTACTTCTGCTGACTGCCGGCTGCCTGCAATTTGGCAATTCAAATCTCACCAGGCTCAGGGTTGACTCAGCCTTCCATCCTTCCAAGGTCGGTAAACTAAGGACCCAGATTGTTTGGGGGCACTAGGCTGACTCTATAAACTGCTTAGAGAGGGTTGTAAAGTCGTATAAATGCTATTACTATGAAGATTTGAAAATAAAGAGCATTTTTGAGCTTCTCCCAGAGACAAAAACCTGTTCACATGCAAAATAAGGCATCATTCACCTTGTGAGCTTCAATCACCCCCAGGTGAGTTTTTGGAACTCAAGAGCATTTCTTATACCTGCTACACATTAAAATACACCTGTTGCTTGCAAGGACATTTCCTTTCCTCTGAACTTCAGAGCCACGGTCACACCAAAGGTCTTTCTTGCTTCCCCTAAGAAGAATAGAAGCAAGGCTGAAAAATACTAATGGTGTAATCATGGTAGGATGTAATCAAAGTGTGGTTAACCATCACTGAAGTGGCTCTGCAAGGGATTAGATAGGATCGTGCATAGATGCTCCTTTGTGACGCCTTTCATCTGCAAATCCAGTGATAACTGAAGCTCATAACTGCTGCTCCCAAATTGTGCTCTCAGATTGTGAATGTCCTCTTCCAGGAGAACACATAATCCCATCTAAAGCAGTCCGAACCTCAATTTCAACAGCACCTCTGTCTTGTTGAATTGGAATGGATTTAATTTCAGTTTATTCTTGCTCATCCAGCCCATCAGCTTCTGCATGACCTGCTAGCCATGGACCATCAGTAATGCTCCAGGACACAGATGGAGAAGATATGAACAGTTGGTATAGTCTCCATCTCACCCTGTCCCACTGCAAAAGCAGCGTTTGCCCCCCCTCCCCAAAAAACCCCTTCCACTTCTAAAATGCAATTGTTCAACTGCTTGTGATCTGTCCATGATGGCTCATATTGAAGTTTAAGGATCTGGGAATTATCCTCTGTTATAGAATAGAATAGAATATTTATTGGCCAAGTGTGATTGGATACACAAGGAATTTGTCTTGGTACACATGCTCTCAGTGTACATAAAATAAAAGATACATTCGTCAAGAGTCGAGAATCATAAGGTACAACATTTAATGGTAGTCATAGGGTACAATCAGCAATCAAATCACACTAGGAACAGTCAATACAAATTCTAAGATTACAAGCAACAAAGTTACAGTCCTACAATCACAAGTGGGAGGGGATGGGTGATAAGAAGTGATGAGAAGACTAATAGTGATAGTAATGCAGACTTTGTAATAATTGAACAGTGTTAAGGGAATTATTTGTTTAACAGAATGATGGCATTCAGGAAAAAACTGTCCTTGTGTCTAGTTGTTCTGGTGTGCAGTGCTCTATAGCGTCGTTTTGAGGGTAGGAGTTGAAACAGTTTATGTCCAAGATGTGACGGGTCTGTAAATATTTTCACAGCCCTCTTTTTGACTCGTGCAGTATACAGGTCCTTGATTGAAGGCAGGTTGGTAGCAATTGTTTTTTCCACAGTCCTAATTATCCTCTGGAGTCTGTGTCTGTTCTGTTGGGTTGCAGAACCAAACCAGACAGTTATAGAGGTGCAGATGACAGACTCAACAATCCCTCTGTAGAACTGTATCAGCAGTTCCCTTTGAGTTTGTTGAGTCCATTCTCCCCCATGCTCCCTGGCCATTGATTTTCAGGGCCATTTGCTTTGTAGCACCAAAAAACCCCAGACTCTTCTATTGTGCCGAAAAGCCATATCTTTCCAATCTCTTGCCAACTCAGCAAGCTAGTCTGCCAGGGTTTGGAAGGTTGGCAAACAAAGTGTGTCTGGACTGATGTAGAAATGTCTTTCTGCTATCAGTTCATCTTGTTCCTCTGTGGGATCAGAGATCTGTTGGGGGAAGAAGAGAGGACAGGCTCTTAAGTTAACGCCTGGGCAAAAATGCCTGCAGCAGCTGATCAGAGGAGCTGGGACAGTTTGTGGCAGGTGTGTAGCAATATTCCAGAAGGTTGTTGCACCTGTGGCAAGCAGGCCCAAGCACACAACCATTTGTGGATCAGGCAGGCAAACCTCACCCTGCTAGAATAGCAACTAAAAAGCCACTTCTAGCCCTCTTCTCTTGCCAAGACAATATTGGAGTCAAAAGTGTGATTAACACTTTTTTGCTGGCCATTGAACGAGATAACAGCATTTTAAGGCTACTGCCAAGGACAAACTTTATTAAGCCTGAATCTTGTGTTTCCTTCCTTGTGCCTTTTGTTACTCCCCATGAGGCTTCTGCTTGCTTCTCTTTAGTGTCACTTAGGGGACTTCAGATAAATAAGCTTTTTTCTATCTCACTCCTCTCGGTTCCAGGCTAAAATGTACCAGAAATTCATCTCACCTATTTGGTTGCTTGCCAATCTATTCCCTATTTCTCTTCTCTGCAGCTCTTCCATACAGAGCACCCCTGGTGGATTGAGCAGGGTTGAAACTAATCTGAGTTAATTAGCAAAACTGGCTGGAACTCCTTTCTCCCCAGCAGAATAGAGAGAGAGAGAGAGAGAGAAGCTCTTCTCTTTGCCAGGAAAGAGAAGCAGGCGGGCAAACAATGAGATGGCTTGTTTTTGTTGGTTGTGCGTAGCTTGTGTTTGTAGCTTGTCAGTTTCAGAGACAGAAAGAAAGGGGGAAGGAAGAAAAGGCAGGAAAGATGTGATAGTGGGCTGGTGGGCAGCCACAAGAAAATATAAAGACATTTTTGACCTCATTGAACCCCTTCAGTCTTACTGCTGTGTCCTCCTCCAGCACAGTCTGTGTTTGCAGGAAGAAGTGCCCAAAGAGGTCCCCAAAAGCAAAGGCAAGTGAAATAATGTTAAGCGGCAACTTCACTTTGCTCTTTGGAGGGGAGGACACTTCCTTGGTGGAACCCCTGGGCAGAGGTGCTTAATGTAAACAATTGTCCAAATACTTTACCAATGTTTTGCATTTGTGATATTTGATCTCCAGGGGCTTGGCTTTCATTAAAATAAGAACGCACCTTTGTTCTCATTTTATAGAACGCCACTAACACTTCTCATATGTATTTAAGACAAGCCTTTTGATAATAGTTTCCCCCCTCCCCCACCCAGGCAAAAGGGAACTAAAACAAACCTTAAGACAGTGAGATTTTCGATTGCTGTATTTGTATAACACCCTGGCTAAAATTTGATAAGCTATTTTTTTTTTGGCTCACTGTGTTGTAGAAATCCAGAGTGATTAGCTGTTGGTCCAATATGTTGTGTAAACCCAAGCAGCTGGGTTAATGCTGTAAACAACCAGTCAAAATAGAAACGCTGCCTCTTATAGCTACGTTTTGAATGTGAAAATAGAGCTGACATAGCCAGGTGCTTTTCTTCCAGAGTGCAAAGCCAGAAGGTCCAGGGCTACATAACTAATTCCAGTCAAAGGACTCTCCCTCCATAATTCATTCTGTAATTCTAAGAGCGGCCAGTTGCACACCTCGAAAATGAGCATTGAGAATCAACGGCTTTCAAGCCATCTGTTCCACCAACTTGTGCTCAGCTGCTGAGATGGCGGCTGCCACTAATACGCTCACTCGGCCCTCATTCCCCTTGTCCCCAGAGTGCCACCTCCTCCCACCATAGAAACATTTACTCATCACTCTCGATCATAAATCCAGGTTGACCAAGCACCCTTTCCATGGGGGGGGGGTCACATAATAAACCCAACCTGCCAAAAATGATATCCTACGATGTCAATGCAATGGCTGAATCCCCCTAGT